AGTGGTATCATGTAATGATGATCATGTCAAGTCATTTCTTCCATACGGTTTAGAGATATTGAGCGTCACCGAAAGCATTTCCAGGAGCCTGCTGCAGACTTTTATCAGCAGCTGCCGTCTCTGGCTCAATACTACAGGTCAGATGGCTAGTGAGAAAAGATTAGGATTCTAACAAAAACCCAACTAATAACATACCACCCAAAAAATATGCCGAAAAAAATGAAGATGGATCAAATACTCGCTGATGAAACTGTAGGGTGACATAGCAAACCAGACCCACGAGTGGAACCCAAATGGGAAACAACAAATTGGGCATCCGAAGGTGACATGGAAGAGATTATATGAGGGAAAGATAAGAGCTTATTGAAAGTCGTACAGCCAGCTAAAGAGGTCTGCCGAGGACAGGATAAGTTGGTGGTTAGCTTTTGAAGCCTTATGTTTCACTTGAAATTCATATGACAATAATCGTGATCAAGTCAAATTTAATTAGAGAACTTGATCAAATAGTTTTATTTTATGAATACTGACGTGAAGAAAATTTGTGTTTTATCAACATCAGTAATACTAGCAGATATCGTTTCTGAGAAAAAACTACCATTGTGTATAAAGACAACCTTTTCATTACATGACAAATTAAGGTACTTCAACTCAGCGCAGTGATTTCTGCCCTAGACTAAGAAAGAAGACGTTTTCAGAGGCTCCTGTGACTTTATTAAGCTACCTCTTTATCATAAATGACAATAATTACATTCTCCGAAAGTTCATGCATTTTGACAATGATAATCAAACACCCATTGATTTGGATCTTACAATTAGAAACTCAAGTGGCAATGTGATCTTTCATAATAATAATTATTATTATTATCCTTGTTTCCTTTAATTCCCAAAGGGACATAAGGCTTCAGCCACACGTGTCCATTGCTTTCGGTTCACTGACAACGTTAACACCTGGCTCCACGTCTGCCCACATGCTTTCATCTCCTCTTCACATCACCTCCTCCATGTCACACTACCACTGACAACCAACTCGCCGCTTCCTACTCAGCTTCCACTCGAGCAGTGGCCTGTCGTGTGATGTCAATTGATGGTTTGTTTTCACAGAGTATGGCCAATCCACCTCCATTCCATCTTTCATAATATTCACTATCTATGCAGTATAGTTCATTTTTCGTAAGCATAAAACTTGAAGACGTGGTGCAGGCATGTATATTACACTAGCTGGTCGCTGAAATGTACTTAGTAATGCAAGAACACTTATACTTAGGTTGTTGCGCTTATTTGTACTTGTATGTAACCTCGAATGAGCTAACATTCTTTGAGGGATTAGAACTCACTCCATTTAGTCCTACAGATATATGCATATTACATTAGTTCCACTAAATTATTACTTATAAAAGCTAAAATAAGTCACAATTATTTATAAACCGAATGAAATTCAGGGAACGAAACATACATGAAAACTAAATGAAATATAAAACTTCATCTTAAATTATCACAGTTTCTGTCCATTACAATACAAGAGAGGCTTGGTTAAGTGCTTATTCAAGAGGATTCAGAGTATTTGTACAGTTGATGTTATAGATGACGAGAATAAAATACTGATGGATACACTTGTCGAAAATGGATATCCTTAGGAGTTTTTAAACCAGTGTATATACCAGTTAGTTAGAAAGCCTACAGTTTATTCGATCCCAAAGAAAGACGTCTATATCAAACTGCCTTACAATGGGGAAATAAATAGTAGGATATTAGGACAGAGACTAAATCTGGTCATTCGTAAAGCACGCTGTGCAGCCAAGCTTATGATTGTCGAAAAAGTTAAAAATATACTTTACTACAATCCTCAACACTGCACAAGTGATTACGTCACATCCCTTGCTATATACCAGTTTCTATGTATGCATCGTCATACACAGGGAGGAGTAATCACTCTTTGCATATAATGATGGGAGAATCTATACCTAAATATCTTGAAAAATGAAGGAATTGTGAAACCTAGACAAGCACAGGTGGCAGACAGCGTAGCACTTAATTAGTACGAATCACAAGACTGATATCAAAACGTTTTTCAAGATTATCTATACAAATGGTCAGGAGCGCCTAATGAAATACGTAAAAGCGATAGCTAGCCGTAAACTTAAGCAGCCCCACTGTGTGTACAGAAACAATTTATTATTACTCTTAACCTACTTTGGTAATCTTCATCTGAAGTAGTTTTAATTATTCCTACTATGCTGATTCTTAAATCCCTTATCATTTTGTTTGTTTTAATCGACGTTTCTGTTTTTGATAAAAATTGATCTGACAAGTAAATGTGTGAGGGATCAGATTGTGTTCGAAATGTACTGCGCAAATTAATCACACTTAACAGGCAATCTTCGTCTTCTAATAACACTATCTAAACTTCATCTTATTGAGTAAAACACAGCCTCAGTTAACAAATACAGTTTAATGAGAAGAGAATATATACATTTTTCTGAATAACACTCAACTGTATCTCGTGTATAAGTTAATTAAAGAATATATGACAAACAGATTGTCCAACTGAGAACAAAAGTCGTAGTATTAATTGTTATATTATTAGATCACCTGAATACTTCTAGATGGATGAGAGAAAACAATAGTCTGAGAAATAGATATACCTAGTTTTCAGGATTCTTGTTGACCATCCATGTGGTCTGGTTTTGATCCCTCGTTGAAGCGCTACTAAACCTTGACTAGATAGTGGCAAGCCCAGGAAGGGGGGACGACTTAAAAAAACATCACACCTATTGAAACTTCAAAGAAGCTTCAAGTCCTTCCTGTGTTCCATTTAGAATGCATGAAATGCAAAAATAGAAACACTAAACTGGTGTCTTATACTCTTAGATGAACCATCATTATATAACTGAATTAGTAGTTAGTCAGCCGATATCCTCAGTAAGTAACGTAAGTTTCAATGCTCAGGGGAGGTTGAAAGTTTTCTGGAAATTATGGACATATCTTTCTGAGGCGACTCAGCAAGCAAGAGATATATATGTCGAAAGGAATTTCTGCGTCAGGTTTAACCAGGGATTGATATCAATTAGAAAAAGACTGAATACCACGAGGTACTGGACAGCCGTTGCGTCATAGTTTGGGACACATCAGCAGTACTTGAGTGGAACTAATGCAATATGCATATATCTGTAGGACTAAATGGTGTGAGTTCGAATCCCTTAAAGAATGTTGGCACTTTTGAGGTTACGTACAAGTACAAATAAGCGCAACAACCTAAGTCTAGATCTTCTTACATTACTAAGTACACTTCAGTGACCAACTATTGTAACGTACATGCCTGCACCACGTCTTTAAGTTTAATGCATATGAAAAATGAACTATACTACACAGATAGCGAATATTATGAAGGATGGAATGGAGGTGGATTGGACATACACTTTGTAAAAAAGCCATCAAGTGACATCACAAGCCAGACCATCGCTCGAGTGGAACCCAAATAGGAATTGGCGAGTTGGTCGTCAATGCGAGGGTGATGTGGAGTAGGTGATGTGAAGATGAGATGAAAGCATGTGGTTAGACGTGGAGCCAGGTGGAAACGTTGGTAGAAAAGCAAAAGCAATAGAGACGTGTGGTTGAAGCTCTATGTTCTTCTAGGAATTAAAGGAAAGAATAACAATAATAATTTTTATTATTATTATGAAAGATCATATTGCCACTTGAGTTTCTCATTGTAAGATCCAAATCAATGGGTCTTTGACTATCATTGTCAAAATGCATAAACTTTCGGAGAATGTAATTATTGTCATTTATGATAAAGAGGTAGCTTAATAAAGTCACAGGAGCCTCTGAAAACGTCTTCTTTCTTAGTTGAGGACAGAAATTACTGCGCTGAGTTGAAGTGTCTTAATTTTTCATGCAGGCAAAAGGTTGTCTTTATACATAATAGTAGTTTTTTCTCAGAAACGATATGTCATACTCTTACTAATGTTGATAAAACACGAATTATCTTTACGTCAGTATTCACAAAATCAAATTGCCTAATTAGGTTCTCCAATTAAATATAAATATATATAGATGAACCATCAATATAGAATATTCGAAGCTTCACCTTTATGTTCCATTGTTTGAGATGAAGTCCTAAATAGATAAACTTATTTCTCTTTCTAAAACAAATCTGAATAATTTATTACACATAACCATTTAACTTGACAACTGATTATGCAATAATAGGGAATAAGCTTTGATCAGAGATCATCAACTTGAAATGAACAGATCAACAGTGTCCAGTCAACCAACATACTCTTGTTGGTAGATCTAGTAACGCATAGTGAAGACGTTTTGAGCAACAATTTCATTGTATACTGAGAGAAAACTAACCATCTAAAAGAGTATGTAGCCGTTGTTCTTGCTGCTTTCATTGCTTGAATCAAAAAGAATCAGTCTCAGAATCAAAATTTCCTGTGAAAAATACCTATTCAGCAATTCTTAATGTCCAATGCTCTTGTTTATTGATTTATATAGGTGACTGAAATTATTTTTACGTATTTTTCTCGTGAATATTGGATCTAACCAGATATATTTTTTTTCTTATCAAGATACCTAAACATGAATTGAACTGTTCGATTGACTAGAATCAGTGAAAATAAATTAAATAATTTAGTATTAAATGAAAACCTCAATCAAGTAGGTGAAAAGTATCAGCCAAATATATTATTTAGTTACCTAAGAATTACACTGACTTCTATTTTTCCCCATAAATTTCAATTAAATCAATTCAATAATTTATTTTTTTAAAAGTAAATCTTGAATTGTTCATAAAATAATTTAGGATGACATTAAAATATGATAGGTTTTTTCTCCCTGTGAACTCCGTCATCTTGCACAATAGCTATGCACGCTTTTAAAAAAGTACAACGTCAAATAAGTCAAATGGAATTTTAGACAAGTGGGTGTTTTTGTGCATATATGTGTGTGCGTCATAAGAATTCAAATATTATTCTGACAGCAAAAATGAAACTTACTTGAACAAGTGCATTATTACTATCAGCGACAAGTATTTTATTTTCTCTTGTTACACATATACCAGTTGGATTTGCAAATTCACCATAACCTCGACCTTTTGTTCCAACAGAATATAAAAAGTCACCTCTTTCTAATTTATGTAAATCAGCTAATGCAGTTGGTTGATCAAGTAATTTAGAGTAAACAGGTGCCGACTGACAACGTCTTCTCGACTGCTTTTTGATACGTTTACGATGTGGCAGTTCACTTATTTCTTTCATTGTATCTGCTATCGCTTGTAAATCTGGTTTAATTGGACTTTCCACATTAATAAAATAAGGCGATCCTTTTATATGTTCACCAAATAATTTAATGCTTAAATCATATGTACCTGGATGAGAAATTTTATAGATAACTTGTAAGGTGTTTTCATGATTTCCATTTCCGTTATTACTATGTGATAAACTTGAACAGCTGTCTGATATTTGTTTTTCTTGAATACCAACTTCAATTTCACTATTACATCTTTGATTCAAGAGGACTGAGAATTCTTTACTCGAAGCATTTGCTACTGTACGACCTAATCGGTCGTTAGCGAGAATATCTATCCTAACTTCTTCATTTGCTTGACAACGTCTAACTGAAGTAAACTGGTCTAGAAAGTTATTTGATAAAGCAGTGTTTTGGGCATCAACAGCAGTTAAACCTAAAGACCCAACACACTTGACCATACTTAAAAGCTGATCTAAATCTGTAGGGAAAAATGACATTGTATCTGACTCTGAAGGATGCAGAGGCAATGGAGCTGAAATAAGCTTTTCAATTTCAGCTTTATGTTTCTGAGCAGCAAGATCTCTGGAAACTGTATTCTGATTTACTTTTTGCATTTGAGGTGTTTCATCATTGGAATGTGTTTGTGTTAGTCTTTTTAATAGGTCAACATGTGAGGAAAGTCTTTGAAGTCTCATTTCAAATTCAGCATGTAATTTGCTTATCGCTTCGTTTCGTGAGCTTAAACAGGAATCCAATTCATTTAGAAGATAATCATGACGTTCACTAACTGATCTCTGAATCATCTGCATACTTTGATCAATTTGACCACGAATTTCCTTCCTTACAAATGGAAGACATTCACTTAAATTTTCTAATTCTTCACATCTTTCAGATAAACATTTGATTACATCTTGAGCTAAATGAAGTTTATCGTATACTTCACTACATTCGTCTGATTGCGTTTTTTCAACCGTTCCATTGACAGTTATATGCATTCCAGTATCTCTGCCGTTCAAAGTTGATTCGAATACTATATCCTTGTTGGGTGAATCATCCATTGTGAAGCATCATTTGTGAAGTAGTTAATATAAAAGTAAAAATGATCCGATATGAATTCCCTCTGGTCAGTTCCCAATGGGTTATCCAACCATATAAAGTGTGGTTGGATCTACCAACCAATGGAAAGTAAGAGCACTCAACCTACGAAAAACCTATATCTCTATTTTTCCTCATTAATTTAGGTCCTAAAAATAAATAAATTCTAGAAATTTTAGTCGTAATGCAATATAAAGACTACTTCATTACTTACATTTTGTTGTTTTAATGCTCTTCCCTTTTCCCGCTTAATTTGAACACAATGAGTTCGCGGAAAATCTGTAGTTTCGTCTCAGGTTAGTTTCTTAGGAATGCTATTGACAAATTCGTTACCTTATCTTCTTACAAACTTTGATGACTGTCAGAGATTACTCAGAGTTGTGAAAGTATTCTGATAAGTTAGACCGACAAGGACTGTAGGTCATTTTGCATTTTAGTCCAAAATATTGCGACTAATCAGCATATGTAAAGATAGGGAGTAAATTGGCTGAACATATTGGCCATTTCATTTGTTCAGGAAACTGCACCGATCCTCAGGTCTCTTGCTGACAAAATGTGTGCAAATATATAAATGGCTTGTCTAGCTGATAAAATGCCGAACTACTCATTAAAAGGTGTCTACTGCGTGGCAGTCTTCTCTGACACATTCTATGCCTATAAAGCATGGTAGTTGAGTAAAAACACGAAATGTCGCTGAGGTTATGATCATAACTGGCTTCGTTCAGTTGCTCACTCGAGATGGAACAGTAAGAAATCACAAGGCCAAGCAGTGTAAAATAAGATAAGTCGATAGTTCAGTCTATAGAGTTCCGTCGATTAGGCTGATTAGCGTGTGTTACACAAACAAAGCAACCAATATTCTAAATAAATATTGTTAGCTGAGGCAAAATTAGGTTGGAACGGAGATTGTGTTGTGAAGCCATCGACTGTTGGTTAGACATTACCACAACATCCCCTAATGGACTAAGTCAAGAAATGGGATAAGTATTTGATGCAGGTAAATATGCTTATGCTATACAGTTTATCGTTCGGTAATTATGAAGTCAATACATCTTTTCCGGACCTGTGTTTCTTCCAATTTTGTTTAAGAGTGTGGCAAGCAGATGTCTTATTACTGCTTGTTTACTACACTTAGTCAGTTACAGGGGCCTTACGTATGTTCTAAGTTAATATTGCCAGGTAACATCATTTTCTGAATAAAGTTATGTAGACAACCATCACTATTGCTAACTTGACATGAGAATCTGGAGGCACTATTAATGTGTTTTTCCAGTTGACTCAACCTTATAAGCAATTGCTAATATGACTTCGTAGTATTTCACTCTCCACAGAAAACTTGACAGCTTCTGGAAAAAGTCATTCCCTACATCGTACGAAGTGAAGTCTTTAGGTTCGTAGGCAGAGATAACAAACAGGCCTTGGCGAACACTCGTCTTTTCTTGTTCTTACATCCACTTCACTAGGAGACACACTATCGACTAAAATCCAGTCAGACAATGACATTTTTTGTTTATAGCTTAGTGTTATCCCTACAGCAGGAACTTTTCACAATAATGAGATCCACCCTACAGAACCAGTAAGTTAACCAAACGGGGTTAAGTGAACAGTCGTAGTTACTTTTTGTATACGTGTTTCAGGAATGCAACATACATCCACATACCGAAATGGTAGATTCTTTAATAAGGGTCCCGCCATATTGCTGTGCATAGATTTCAGATGTAGAAAGTTATAAGAAAGTAGAAATATTTTTCCTTGATCTAATTCGTTAGCGATGATCTCTGAATTAAGGAAAGTTAAATGAACTGCATAGAAAGTAGTGACAGCAGTGAAAAACAGTGAACTTGTGGGGGGAAATGTGCTAGAATTCACGAATTGGTGTCCGTATCAGGAAACTTATCGTCCATCAGGATGTTTTTCCAGGATCAAGCTTTTTGATCTCCTCTTACTAAGGTATGACGGCTGCTGCCTTACTGTTCTCGTTTGGGAAATACCTATCACACTCTTTATAGATAGTGCTAGTTCCTCTTCCCCATAATGTAAGGCAATAACACTATGATAATAACTGCCTTCAGTTCTTCTGCTACCTAGTTTTGCGTTACTTGAAATGGAACCGTAGACTCTACTTGATACTGCCCATAGTCGCTCGCAGTGGTTCAAATGTATTCGTCTGTTATCGCAGAAGTCCCTAAAATCTCCAATACTCACCAGTAAATTATCATTTCTCACCTTTGTGTACTATGATATCATTACACTCCTCTTTTTAGCGTATACTTTCTCGAAGTGTAGCAGCCTTAATTGACTTACAGTCGTTCTGGAACCCTTTTTGAACTATCACCAACAATGTGATGTACCCCTTGTTATGCTAAACATAGGGATCTTTCAGCCGTTCTCTTTTCAGTTTTTAACCGCTTTAATAAAATGGCTGGGAATCTTTGTATATCCTGGCGACTGTGATTTTCTAACATTAGACTGACTGAGTTTTTAGTGAGGAACTTAGCACAAAATTGCAGCAGTTCATATTGCCACATATGTAGCACTCAAAACAGAAAAAAATTCAAGAGAACTGTAATGAACATATATGTATGGGAGCAAGAATAACTAAATGAAGAATAATGACTTTATTGGATCTGTAAGATAATAAAAAGTGAATCTATGTGTAACGCTTGTCCTAACCATCTCAAACGATGTAGCTTGACAGCATCATCGATCGACTTGTTTTCCTTACTTAACATTCGATGCGTAACCCCAATATTACTCACCCTATTGTACCACCTAACAGGTGAGATAGAACGCAGACACGTGGTAAAAGACAGCTAACCTTTTCATGTCTTGTACTTTTAATAGCCATTTCTCACAGCTACAAAGGAGGATGGAGCAAACTGTTTCTGGGCAGTACACACGCTCTTCGGTCGACAGCCGGATATCACGTCTACGCCAGAGATGGCGTAAGTCGGCATATGCCAAACGAGCCTTCTGTATCCGTGCTGAGATTTCGTTAGCGATCAACCCGCTGGACCTGGCTGATTCCAGTATAGAATCTGGTTTAAACAAAAATGAAAGATGTGAATAGTGTATAATATAAATGCTAAACGTTTATGAAAATGTTCACACCACAAGTGAAGCGATCAACACGCTGAGCCAACACTTCACTCCCTATCTTAATTCTAGGACTGAGTCGATATAATCCAGTCCTGTAGCATCATCTTACATTTAACGGGAGCGAGTTGTATGCCAAACATTCGAAGATTGCAGCTCAAGGTGTTCAGAGGACTCTGCATTTTGTCAGTGTCTTCACATAGAAGGATTGTATTATTCGCACATTTTAAGTTAACAAGTCAATCCCTGTGTAGCTGAAGTCAGTTAGGGTTAAGTCCATTAGTACATCTGTGATGAAGTTAAACAGAAATGGAAATAGTGGGCGTCCCTGACGGACACCATTGGTTGTCACTACTTCAAATGCCAACTCTCCGTAAGCTCCTACAAGGCTACACGAGTTTAAGTTCACGGCTAAACACTGCCATAGTACCCCTTGGTTGATGGATCGGAAATCCGCCTTCAAGTAAAGAAATATGATAAGTGTTGGACACTGGTAAATATGTCTATGCTTCAGAATCTGTCTGAGGTTGAATATATCATGAATACACCCTCTTCCTGGTCTATAGCCTGTCTGGTTTCCGTGGGTTTGTTTCTCTTTACCATCATCTAGTCTGTGTGTGATTACTGAACCTAAAATGGAAGATGCTATACTAGTGAAGCTTATCCCCCTGTGATTATCATAGGAAGACTTGTATCCCTTTTTATAGTGATCAGTTATTTGTTCAACGGGGATATCTCTGATTTATGAAGTTTAGATAATAATGTGGAGCCAGGTATATCTCTGATTCCTAGACATTACCACCTCTAGAGTCATTCCATCAGATTCTGCTGCCTTACCTCGTCCCAGATTGTAGATAGCTTTTGCAACCTCAGTTACACCTTGAAGACCTATGTTAACATCCCATTCAGGTGTTGGATGCTGAAGGCTGATTAAACTGCTTCTCAAAATGCTTCCTCCAACGTTCTATTATTCTATCCAGAGGGTTCATTAAAGCGCCTCTTTTCTCGAAGATTGCCTCGCTTTTACAACCTATTTACCTAATAAACGTAAAAAGCTGTCTGGTAATACTTAACACTGATGCCTGTTTCATCTCTTCCTTTTGTTGCCCACCGTTGTTCACAGTCGTTGCAGAGACTTCTGGTTACTTTGCGTTTGAGCAGCTTTCTCTCTTCATCATATTCAGAGCCCATGTGAATCAGTCTTCTTGTGTTATCAGTTCAGATAAAGCAGCAGAAATCCATTGTCATTTACTAATCTTTAGCTTTAAATTATCCACAGTCTTTAACAGCCGACTAGATATTATGCCAGGCTTCCTCACGATGAGTCCTGCTGTCAGTTTCAGATACAGGTTTAGCTATTTCTTCCATGAACAAAAACATAGTATCTTCATCAGGTTGAATGCGTAGCGGCTTCATTGATGCTTGTGTTTTATGTCCGTTTAGCTGTTGGCATACATATGCATGGACTGGAGTGTCATCTAAGTCTTTCAGAAGGAGCACAGTAGATGTGTGGGAAAGGTAAATTACAGTACACGTCACCAAAAAGCCGTTGAGACATATATGCTAGATCCATGCTACAACTGGCATTCATTTCGGTCTGTGGAAATTTCATTTATATTATTTCGTATAGTTGTAAAGCTTAGCAACTTTTATCACGTTTCTCTGTTCATACGCTATTTCAAATGAATAGTTCTAAACATCAAATACTTGATCTTCTTGATAACTATCGCCTAACGTTTATTGTGTTTTAAAAAAGAAATAGCTTAAATCAATATTTGGTAAACTTAGATAACTGTGATCTGTATATGTATCGAATTGCCTAGCACGTTTGTTGAATGCGAGTTAGTAGTGATATCTACCCTCGCATAGGTAGCCTTCATATATCAATACCACTTTCTCCTGAAGTGTAAATATTTTAAGATCAAATAATAAGGCTGTAGGAGACTGTATACGGGAATTTAAAGGCAAAAAATATTGTATGTTCAACAATAACGGTGTTTTCTCGCTAATTTTTATGTTTTCACTTTAGTTTTGGGATCATTTCGTCGTTCATGCTACAATAGTACTCGTAAAAACATACTACTCGATGAGAATACTAAGTTAATATGTCAAGGATTTACAGGGAAGCAAGGCACTTTTCATTCTCAACAAACCCTTGCTTATGGTACGAAACTTGTTGGTGGTGTTTCTCCCGGAAAAGGTGGAAGTGCACATCTTGGATTGCCGGTGTTTAATACAGTAAAAGAGGCTAAGGAGGCTACAGGTGCAACTGCTACTGTTATTTACGTACCACCGCCACATGCTGCTGCGGCTATTGTCGAAGCTATTGATGCACAGATTCCTCTTATCGTATGCATAACTGAAGGTATCCCACAACATGATATGATACGTGTACGGAAACGTCTTGTTGAACAGGTAATACAGTTTTTTCTTAATATTATTACCATTATTATCCACTTCTTAGTTATTCAAGAAACAGTTTAAACTATAAATTTTCTCTCGCCTGATAGTTAAATAGTTATGTGTGTATTTGTGAATGCGGGCATATTTCTTCATTGAATGCGACTAAATACTCTTTTCTACCTGTTAGGATGTTGCACTGACTAGACACAACGTATGTTTCACCTAAATTTTTTCTTCCAGCTTCAATCTAAGGTTTCTTCGTCCCAATCCAATTAAACTACATCTCTGCTATGACTTGAATGCAGTCTTCCTATGTTAAGTAAGACATGGATATCCGAAACCTATTAGAATCACACAAGCAAATTACAATAATTAGAGATTCACCATGAATATTTTTAATGGTGTAATTATCTGTGCTGTGAAACATAATAAGATGCTAGTCGTATGCTTGGGTGAAACAAAAGTCTTCTGTCAGCCGATATCGTTATACTGTTCAGAGCGGCGCTTTCAGTTAGCCGAAAATTCTCAGTATCCGTTTCCTAAGCTCTAGGTATGCATCACGAATCTTTTGTCTATTACGTGATATGACACTACATATATAAAAGCGATTTTCTCTAAGTCTATAAATGCCAATACTACTGGGTCTCTTTATTGATTTGGTTGGCTTCTTCTTGAAAAAATGTAACTCATGTAGAAAAGTTACAAATAAAATCTGTGGAAGTACTTTTGCTACTTTACAAACATTTCGTATATATGTGTGTAGTATAATTCACTTACTCTGGAGTAGGAAGCTTAGATGTTCAGTTATTTCAAATATTTGAAAATAAGATGGAGTTCATCTCAAAACGAAATTCTTACTAATATTAATGCTATTTGTTAATAGAATACTATAATTTCTCTTCTTGTTGTTGTTGTTGCTTGCTAAATTTATCGTTTAGTTTGTGATGCTTTTTTTCCTGTGCCCTACTAAATGTTACAACTCTAATTTAGTTAATTAGTGGTATAGAGGGCTATCACAGTTACACTGAAAGACTTATAATTACCAACCTCGTGTCTTGTGACGCATTATTTAAAGGTCATTTAGCCATTCCTGTGTAAATCTAGGCGTCATAAAGCCTGATTTGGAAAAGGTCATGGTCGTTCTGTTCAGAACGAAATGTCTATGATTAATTTTGTTGTGGAGACTACTGAGGACAGCTAACAACCCGCATAAAATCTGGTATCTTTTTCTTCTCTTACTTCCTTATGCATAAATGTTGTGTTAATTTCCCATCTTTTTTCATCACTTGTTTCCTCTCCCTGCCTCTTTTTCTTAGTCTTCTTCCAGATTAATTGGACCAAATTGTCCAGGAATAATAAAACCGGATATATGCAAAATTGGCATAATGCCTGCACATATTCACAAACCAGGCACTGTTGGCATTGTCTCCAGATCGGGAACACTAACATATGAAGCAGTCTTTCAAACTACACAGGTACTTTTTTTTCAACTCATTTGTATGTATGTCTTTACACACCAACTACTTGTAACTATCAGTTCTGTTTGAATTACTAGCTGTATTACAAGTATATAATGCTTATCCTTTTTCAACCTGTTGTACAATAATATCTGTGTTTCCTACATAGTTCTTTTGGAAACTGAATTAGTTAGCAATCTTCCTCAGTAATTGCAGAGTAGTGTCATTCCTTTGTTTTGGAGTTTGAAAGTTAAAGTTATACTGGCAAGTGAATACAGTGAGATATAAAAGTAATAGGATTTCTGTTTTCAGTAATCTGTGCTTTTTCTACATTGCCTTAACTTTCTGTGAAGTAAGGAGAAACCGGCACTTATGTGGTCTCCTTCGAGCAGTTTCCACGATTTTGCAATGCCTCAGTTGGAGCACGTGATTCCACTTTCACATAATACATTAGTTATTTGTGTGTAATGCTCTTATATTGCCGATATAACCAATTCAACTTCAATTGGTTTTTACAATCATTCTTAATTATGCTCCATTTTAGGTTGGTCTTGGCCAATCTTTATGCGTTGGAATTGGTGGAGATCCGTTCAATGGAACAAATTTTGTTGATTGCCTTGAAGTATTCTTAAATGATCCTAATACAGAATCGATTATTCTTCTTGGTGAAATCGGTGGGGAATCAGAAGAACAGGCTGCAGATTACCTGAAACAACACAATACGGTAAGTTGTTTAAAGTAATATAAACTTTACTATTATTGTGGTTTTGCCTCTAACCTTTTTTCTCATCCCCTCGCATTTCGAATGGGACAAAGGACGCTAAGTTGAGGTTTGAAGTCTTAGTAGCGGTGGTGTTCTTTTACAGGGTGGGGTTGCCAGTCCCACGCCCAAGTTGAGGGCGGAAGACATGAAGAGATTGTCTGTTTTTGACCACAGATGTTTACGATCTCTTTCTCGCGTTAGGTGGTATAATAAGGTAAGTAATGTTGACGTTAGACGTAGAGTGTTGGGCAAAGAGGGAAAATCACTCGAAGAGGCTATAAAGTTACATAGATTGAGATGGTTAGGCCACGTGCTGCGCATGCCTAACCATCGTCTCCCCCGACGAGCATTACTAGCTGATATAGGTGCAGGTTGGAAAAGAGTAAGTGGTGGCCAAACAAAAACATGGCATCAGTCCATGAAATCCTTGACAGTTAAACTGAGTCAGGTAGGGAGATGCAGACTTCCGGGTTTGGGCCCTCGGGACTCTAAGAATCAATGGCTGGAGACAATAGGTGACGGCTCAAAATCGTTGTCAATGGCGCAGATGTATTCAGTCTCTGTAATCTTTCATATTCTTTTCTACCATTACTCATTCTGTTTCACTCCTATACTTATCAAAACTATACTGATTCTCTTCACGCATCTTCTTGTCTACCTTTGTGTGCTATTTGGAATGTGGCAACTCGAACTGCTGCACTTCGGTGCCAAGTTCTATGTTGAATCCAGACAGAGAGACAGACGCCCAAGTTCCCCTCTCTATCGGGTTTACTACCGGTTAAGATAGGTTTAGGCTAGTATTCTACTATTGTGAATCACTGACGCACTTTTACGTCGGTAGCACGGCGGTTAGGACTCTCGCCGACTATGCACATGGTCCAGGGTTCGATCCCTTGCCGGCGTACGCCCGATATCAATTGATCGGCCTGCAAAATTTGGGCTACCGATATCACATACTGAAAACTCCATACTTGTACCAAAAATATAGTGTGGAATCAAGCTATTATCAAAAATATATATATACCTTTGGTTAAAACTGGTGATCTGATTATCTAACTGCTGTAATTCTCCAAGTTCCGGTCATTTATCTTATCTTTTTATAGCAGAAAAAATATGTCAAGTTTGTAATTACAATGATTCAGTAAGTTAGAATAAGGTGGCAGTAGCTCTTAACTAATGTATCTTAACAAGCTTGAAACTTTTGTCCTTCAAGCCTCATCACTTTTTGTACTTTGCTGGTAACTCATACATTTTTCAGGTGGCCTGCTCAAGACTTGGGCTTGGGCTATCAAAAACCTCCATGACTATGTTGCATATAATTTCTCCTGTTCACTTTGTTATAATCGAATGAAATGTGACCTCTAACGGTATTCTTTACTCCTTCGAGTATTTAAAGTGTTTACAACCTGTTGATTTCGCCAATTTCCACTAAACTTGAGAAAAAGCATAATTGTGAGGATGAGCAGTGCATCCCTATGTGGTGAGAGCTGGCTGCTAGCCAAAGTTGGTAGACAGTAATTGACGTCAATGTTTATATCCCCAATATTGGTGGTGAGAAAATGAGAACAAAGGCTTTGCGTAGGCGGATACAGTTAGCATATGGATGATCTGACACAGCCACAAAGAGATGCAAGGTTAACTTTCTGTGAGAAACAATCAATCAAAGGACTGTATTTTGTACTAACAATAATCTACAATAATGTACATTAAAATCTATAAATATGTGTTGATTTTCCTTAATAAACGATTTCTTGCCTGGCCCTTGTCTTCTGTTGTTGCACCTATATACACGATAACTGTTCCTGAGTTATGTCCTTGAGTCTCCAAATGTACCCCTAAACTTTTTACAATTGGCTTTCAACCAGATGTCGTACACTTTTCTTAGGAAACAAAGGAAAGATGTCAAAATGGATTGGTTTGCGCTTCAGGTCAGACAGCGTCGTGTCACAGGATCTACTATCAATTAATATTTTTATCTGAGGATCCTTTGCGAAGAGAAAACGTCATGCAATAAACTTTGCTAAAGATTATATCCATCCTATAAACACTGTTCAGAATAAAGCTATTATTATTAATTATTTTCCCTTTTCTCACCCCTGTTTTAGGGTCCAAACAGTAAACCTGTTGTATCTTTCATTGCCGGAGTAACAGCACCACCTGGTCGTCGTATGGGTCATGCAGGCGCGATCATTTCTTTGGGTAAAGGAGGTGCTAAGGAAAAAATGGCAGCTTTAGAAAGTGCAGGTGTAATTGTTACTCCTTCTCCAGCTCAACTGGGTAAAACTCTTTTAGAGGTAGGTTTTCATATCTGCATTATATTCAAATTTTAATTAGTCTAACGTCTTAGCATCACAGTTAATGTCAGTCTACCCTATAAATCTGTAAAGAATACTGATGTTAAGGATTATTAATTACTATTATTTGAATTATCTTGTGTTTCACTGATGTGCATTTTTGGAATGGATACCTTTAGTCTGACAGATTTATTTTGATCGATAATTCGAGTGATAATTCAAATTAAGATAGAAAGCTAAGTTCATCGTTGGATTAAAAACTTGTGACCTTTAACCTCTTTGCTTATCGATTAATTCTATACGATCAGGGTGAAATATTTTACTTGTCTCTGTTTCAGTCATTTGCTTTGGTTCCTATTTTGTTGTGGTTTATTGAGCTAGACCGATGGGTTCGAACTCCACTGTATACTGCCTAGTGAAGTGTAGATACTCAAGCTATATCACTAGTCCTCACTCCATACTGTTTAGCTCATTACTAAGTGCATTAATGTGTAGCTGGTTCATTCATTTTCCGTTTCACTCACATGTAGATGGAATTGCATCATTTTGACAAGATATGACTACTATCAAACCCCGTACCACTGAAGTGTGAGTTGAACTACTGCATACACTCAGTCGGTAGATATCTGTATGATATGAAGCACACAAAGTAAACATTATTCAGTTCATCCTGTACCAACACTTGTCATCAGTCCATGAAATCCTTGACAGTTAGTTTGAGCCAGCCACGTAGGAAGGTGTAGGCTTCCTGGTTGTCGTCCTCAGGATGCTAAGAACCAATGACTGGATCGAGACCATTAGCGATATGGCTCGAAATCGTTCCCAGTGGCTAGTGCAGATGCATTCACTCTTTGTGATATACCATATCTATTGTAGCCTGTTGTTTCCCCGTGTTACCATTAGTTCTCCCTCACATTTCTTTTATTTATCTCCCTTTGTGTGCTGCATGGAGTGTAACAACTCGAACTGCTTCACTTCTGTGCAAAGTTCCATATTGAAACCAATTAGTCATTTCATCATTATTTTACGAAGCAAAAGTACCAACGGAACTAGTAAGAAACATCCGCTGCTCTATGTTACTTATGTGACATTCAGTCGAAACTGGTCGCCTGAGTTAACATGAAAACTTTTCCTGTCTGCTCTTCTATCAGCTTTCATCAATTATATAGCTCCTGGTGAGGTAGGCTTTCATTCATTGGCTTTAAGCCAATGTGTTCTGAGTTTGAATTCCACTCCACCTATGTCACCGTGGACAATTGGGTAGTATCATCAGCTTTCACACGAACAATTTGGCTCATGGCTTGGGAGATGGGAGACATTCTAGAACTGAGTTCAAACTTACAGCTCACAGTTAGCAATGTGCTGCGCATATATATTGTGTGGGAACCAGTGTGACAGCCCAAACCTCGGTAGTTAGGGTTAGGGGCCTCAAACCTGTGGTTAAAAGTTGTGCGTCTAGACTAGTGGGCCACAGATTCACCTATCTGTGCAACAAACAATCACAAATTATCACAGTAAGTCACTATGGGACACTTTCCTTACTAGGTGGCTTTCATAAGCATGTCCACAGTGCATAACTTGGCCTCTTTGCATAAGTAACGAATAAAAATCCTAGTGGGTACGGTGGTACCTAAAGCTAAATATTCACTGTCTAAAGCAGTTCTTGTAGCATTAAGCATTTTCAACGTTTAATGCCTTCTTATAATTTGTGTTCAATTCAGATTTTATTACTGACCTTTATTTCATGTTTAAACTTTCTATTTGTAGGCCATAAATGGTCGTTCACGGGCTAAAAGTAACTAATAATCTACACTGAAGTTTACTCCAGAGTTGATCAAAGATGCTTACAAATTACTTACAATTAGTATTATTATTATAACTGTTCTGTGTATGCGAGCTCGCCAGTGTGATCTTTTCTTCCGGATATAATCAAAATATCTTTTTTTTTTAAATTGGTTGTCCAACCATTTACACTTCAACATTCTACTGTTTCTCAATGCATTCTTTTTCTTTTCTTGTGTCTTTCGAATTAGTCTATATTCATTCATTATCTAAGTAAAATCTTTTAGTACTACAATCATCGCTATATGTGTGTGCATGTCACCAGTATCCCTGATATACATATTTTTTCTGTAGTGAGTGAGGGAAAAAAACCGAACTAGTATCTCGTTTACTTGATTGTTTGTCTTCTCTCTCTCTCCGAACTTCACAGCCCTGTAACACTACCTTTTTATCTTTCTTTCTTGTATAGGATTTTAGTATATAAAGTACTTTATATACTTTTTTTTCTGCTCCTTTGTCTATCGCTTTTTTCTCTAAAATCAGACTGGTTAGTATGTATTTTTACATGTGTGTGTGTGACGTAGCGGAGTACAGTTGTTCCATTGTTGTAGTATTTATTAAAGAAAAGAATCTAGTGATAATCAAAATAATAACTGTTTTCTATTTCTTCTTTGAATGAGTTTTACTCAGTAATGTATATATGCACAATCACACTTAACTGGAACTCAATTACCCTGGCATTGATTTTTCGGACTGATGGACAACACGTAGGTTTACCTATAGGAGAACTGAAAACCCTGATTCTAATCTTATGGGTGTGTGTGTGTATGGGCTCCAGAATCCGGACGGACCTGTTTTGGTTACGGGGAACCATGGGAATGCTGCTGCACACTGCCTTGTAGATCTGACTTCAAGGGAATGGTTAAGAGGTGAGGAAGGAGTGGCTCCTTTTAAGACAGCAACTTGCTTCGGTCTGGGCTTCCGGGCGACAGTACTCCTGCCCTCAAACAAACTATGAGATTTAGTGTGACACATCTCTTAATGCCTATAATGTATGTGTTTTACTATAATAATAATATAGTATGTGAGGACTAATGAAGTGGAGAGGGAGTCGAACTTGGAGCTCGTCGAGTGAAACTTCAATGCCAAATTATAATAAGTCACATCAAGTCAATAATCATACTTAATCGATCCTCGCATAGTAATAATCTCAATTAAAGGGGAATGTAGGATTATAAGAGACGAAGTTGATCAATGATAATAATAATAATATTCTTAAAAAATTTCAGATAAAATCGTTATATTCGTTTCTTTTTTGCTGAAAGCAAAGTGTATCTAGGGATCCGATTAGTAAACTGTTCATATCTTTTATCGTCAGTCATGTACGATTGTGTTTGCAAAAGGAGTACTGTTACAATTTACTTTTTTCCTTTATGAAAAATGTAAATGAAATGTTACACAATAATCGCAAGCAATCAGCAATGAGTGACACTTGTTATATGATACTACTCCTCGGCTTCATGAACTCCAGTATGTAAGGCGGAGCTTGAACCCATGACCGAGTGGTTGGAAGTTGTGTGTCTAGACCAATGAGCTACAACTCCACTCTTCATACTTTTGATATTTTATTTATTTTAATTTTCATATCGATGAGAGTGTTGAACGGTTAAATGTTATCAAATTTTTCGTAAAGTGTATTGTGGGCAAATACATCACACTTATGTCTTCTCACATCATGTTATCTTAAGAGACCCAGAGTTGCATCTCTTATTACTTAAATGTAAGTCCTTATTATCGAATAAATAGGGCTACAAGTGATTATCACCCCGACGAGTACAGCATCATATACGTTAATCATTCCCTCGATCCTAATCGATTGTGTGAACTGTAAAGCATCCTTAGAACCTATTTATGCAATCTTAAATACTTTATCCGACTTCATCATTTTGTTGCATAAAAAGGAGATATTTTCATAATTATTCTACCCCTTCATATTGCGTAAAAACAAATCATAAGACTTGTTTCGCTTAAATTATTTAGCTTCGATTGGTTTTGGATAAGCACAGTTAGCAAAATAGGTCATGAACTTATGATTTCTGCTTGTTGTTACTTACTGCAATGCAATTCTAAACTACAAGATGAGTTGTTTTTTTCTACAGTTGCATATATGTACATTGCGTCAACGCATCAAAAACGTTGGGAAGCATTCAGTCTGATCAAAACAGTGCAACCAGGTGAATAGCACTACTACATGTATAAGGAATCTTGTTAGTTTTATGTTAAGGAAAGAAAGATTAAGGGCAACAGTGAGGCACAGTCAAACGACCTTGAGCCAGCCAGCCAATCATGTGCTTCTAAGTAAGAAAGTGTCATTTGTAGCATAAAGAAGTATGTCTACTGGATATGTGTACAGTGTAGTGAATTATATGAGATACATGTCTGTAATATGTTGCGGAAAAAGGTCTCAGTTTTCCATAGGAGTGACTATAGTAAATAAACTAGAATCTGTATGAGCACCAGTTTTAGGATCGATTAATTCTAATAATGATTGACTTTATCATGATCATAACCAAGTGATGATAGTCACACTGCTCATCATTTCGAATGCATACTGCGCATAATCTTCTTTACAAGTTTCACCCTAAGTTTAGTCCCACGTCGACTCTTACTCAGAACTAGACTTGCAAAGAAGATTCTGAAAAGTATTCATTTGCAGTGTTGGGCAATCTGATTGGCTGGTTCAAAGTCATTTGACCCTGGTGTCTATTCTTTACTCTTGCCAGATTAGGTTTAGGCTAGCGATATGTTAAGTTAACGTAATGAGGAAGATGATACTAGGGTTAGGTTAGGCACAGAGGAATAAATTTAACTTTCAGTGTTATAGCTCTTCCCAAGGTGATTAGTGTGGTCGCGCCCTTGGGTGTCTCAAGTTTAACTTTTGTTTTATGCTGAAAACTACCGAAAATTGTAAACATAGAATCCTTGTTCTAAATGATTCTAATCGTTCCGACGTGTTCGTTAAGCAGCATCAACTGTTGGACCTGACTACGTAATTGAACATCTAAACGACGTAGAGACTGGATTTCTAGCTTTAAAGTAAATTCATCTTTATTGGAATGTGTACCATTTGTTATAAAACCAGATGATAATGATGGATACGAATCCGAAGCATTAAGTTTACCACCTACATACCCTGAACATTGCAGAATTGGTTTGCTGACACACTCCGTGAAAAGGAATATTTAGGCATTAAACACTTAAAGAGCCTCTAATCCCAATAAGAATGGACCCTATTCACCAACAAGGAAGGCATTATTTACAACAATAATAATTTGTGATTTCATAGTAAGGTCAGCAGTACTTATTAGAGGTATCTTATAACCAGTAATGCTGGTAATCGAAATATTAGGAGTGTTTACTTGTTCGTGCTCGAAAGGTAACAGCAAATGTTTCTTAGAAATTATGCCGATTGTGCAACATCTATGCAGAAAGAAATAGAGGTGGATTGGACATACTCTGAGAAAATCATCACACGATAGGCTCTCGAGTGGAACCCAAACGGGAAGCGGTGAGTTGGTCGTCAGTGCGAGGGTGACATGGAGAAGTTCATGTGAAGAGGTCTTTGCATAAATTCTGAAATGTGGATTACAAAATATCTTTATGGTACTACAAATATGTAATTCTAATGTGTATGCTAACAGCAATTTCGTGGGAGTAAAATATAGATGGGATAATGTGGGAAATTTATTTCTCTTTATAACCTCATCGTTTATTTCGTATACATGAGTTCAAGTAAAATATTTTTGGAATTAGAAACCAATACCAAAAAGCAATAGAAAATTGTTTATACTACTTTTAAGGTCAAACAGAAAACTTTAAAAATAGAATAAATAAATCTAATTAATACCGTTACAGGTGAAAGTGAGATTTAGCAATGAAAGCCTAAATCCAATAGCCTATTAAATTCTTTTCAAAAGAATGTTTACTGAACAAAGAATATGCTTCTCGATAATTTCATCATCAGGCTCTACAGTTATATATTCATATAATAGTGAATGAATGAATTAGTGTTATTAACAACATTAATGTTGTTTAAATAATATCGAATCAATATTAATATGAATGGATTACAGTTCGATAGCATCAGCATAACACCACACACTGAATATCAGACCAATTAGGAGAGATAACAATGTAAATTCATGAATTTATAGTCTCCACTGAAGGCCAGGGCAGTAGTAATGGCTGGACTTGTTTCTTCTGCACACAAAGCACTGGTTGTTTCAGACGAATAGCGATAGCCTCGGCTGTTTGGAGTAAGTGGAACCTGAATGTTTTTGGTAATTTGTTTGGTACCCGATAGAGGATGGGGAAGGACTCTTCAATGCTGGTTGCTTTGTGACCAGTTTTGACCACGTGTTCTAATATCGAGCTATTGGTGCTTCTCACTGCACCTTTATTTAACCACAATGGTAGATATTCACCAGCACAAGAAATCAAATTCTTAGGGCGCCAGCCAATATAACTCGGCGCCCCTATATTAACTTTAACTGAACGCTCATAAAACTAATTCACTTTAGATATATCATCATTTTACAGAGTCGGTTTCCATGCATGCTTAACAAATATTTGTCATTATTGTGCCATTTAACATTGATTTCCGATTCTTTTATATATACTTCGCACGCGGTTACCAACGCATTCGTTTGTTTCTCGAGTACGTCCAAGATTGATTTAACTTGCAATACATTTTCCAAACATTCACTTGTTCTCTTTTCTGCAATGTTGTACGTAACCAGTGTTCAGTACATTGTCAAACGTGAAGTTGTCAATGCACTACAGTATATTAATGGAATTTACATACAATAACCTATAATACTAAAGGCGACATAAGAATAATAGACTACTTGTGATAAATAACCGATGGTTGAGCTTCACACATATTGATTACCTTACCTTAGAGTTCGTTCACAGCGCGAGGTAGTGTAACAGGCATTAGATCATACTTCTTCTTATACATATATAACACCTTAAATGAAAATGTGTAACAGAAGATA